CAACTACAGTATGGTACACTCTCTACTTAACTATACGTATATTTTCTTACTTTGAAGAAACGCCATTCCAAAATTCAATATTTCACACGATGTTTTTGCGACGACGTGTCTACGAAACAGCTCCGGTAGTTCACATACACGCTTGCTCCCACCGTAATTTGGATATTATGAGACAGGTGCACAACTTTAACTTTAATCATTTGAACTTACACCTTTAGATCGGTGGGACTCGATGACAATCGGTGCGTTCGTAAATTAAAAGGTACAAACTTAACTAAACAAATACATAAAAAGGAGAAATATGCATAAAAAATATACATATAAAAACATATGAACTCTTAACTAAAAACAAAAGTAAGTCACAGAAATGAGAGAGAAGGTATCTGAAGGAAAATTGCTGCCAAGGACAGTGTGCCCTACCAGGCTAAACCTACAAATTATTAGTCCATCGCTCATCTCTTATTAGCATCCACCCTCGAATTGGTCTAAAACTGGGGCCAAAACGGTATCCGACCAGTTTGTCAAAATCCAGTTTGTTGAAACCCATGATTTCCGATTTAATGACCTCTTGCCGAAACCCACTGTTTGCCGAATCCAGTTCACCGAAATCATGACAACCCAGTTTGCCGAAACCCGACTCATTTGCCGTCACCATCGTGCAAAAGTACAGCTTACTGTGCTTTTGAAAACATGATGGGTGGATCAGGGGAGGAGCCACAATCCCGTATTTGCAGTGGCGTATCCAAGGGGAAGGACGTGGGGGGGGGCCCCACAAAAAGCTTGCGCCCCCCCCCCATTCTAAAACTTCGAAGAAAAAAAATTAGGCTAGGCTTATGCTTATGCTGTCACGGTTAACGTGTATTCGGGAATCTAAGAAGCAATATTTTTCAGTGGGCGTGGCCACCGAAAATAAATTCCACGCCCCCTCATATTTTGGTCTCGCCCTCCCCACCAGCCCCACCCCCCATTTTAATACTGCTAGATACGCCACTGCGTATTTGTACCCGTGTAAACGCTCCGCTTTGAATATACGCCCCTTCTAGAGCCTCATTTGGAATAAACGCCTCTTTCGAAAATACCCCGTGGCGTATATTTTCTCTTGGAATAAACCCCCCCTTGACTGTAAACAGATCTAATGGAACATAATTCCCAACACTTTTGACTAATGTTTTACTCCAGTAGAATTACATTTTAATTACAGTAAGGGGCGTTTGAGTATATACAGTACGTATCCATTTTACACAATAAAATAAATGCCTGCCTCGAATAAACACCTCCCTCGAATAATCTCCCCCTTAAAAACAATTCTTAACAATAAACGCCTGAGGGCATTTATTTGACGAAATCGTCCGTGACCAAAAATTATAATATGTCTATCCATATAACGTTATTTTGATTTTCAATTTCTAATTCAATTCAATTCAATTTATTCAACAAATAACCCCAGACTGGGGAAGGTAAAAATATATAAAATACAATAAAACTTCACAATACATAATTAATCAGAAGAAACTCGCATCCATAATACAACAACAACAATATTGTGGTATTAAAAAAAAAAAAATTCCCAACATGGATTGTTTTATGCCTGGACCCTGACAGAGGCTCTAGTCAGCCCCTTGATTCGGGTGTATATAGATTATTATTTATTTATTTATTTCATTTAGGTATACATATTATTATATTAATTAAACTTTATACACTTATTATAAATATGGTTTATAAGATATTTTATCCATCTGCCAGGCCTATTTAATTTTTTTTTTTTTTGCTGGTAGCTAAATTGTTAATCAAGTTTGATTTACAGGTTCTGAGACAAAACTAATTATTAAACTGCAATTAGCAGTTATTTATTATATGAATAAACAGAGATCGCATCGCACTTCGCATTGGAAGACTCCTAAATTCCTAATTTCGCAATTCTGGAATTTGCCTCTTAACAATGTAATAGATAGTTTCTTTTTTTCCCAATAAATCATGTAATTTTCTTTCTTCTTTAAGAGTGGAGAAGAACAATTTCCAATTATGGATGAATAAATAGATATCTATGTCTATGCCCTTAATATATCAATGTTTTCTTTTCTGGAATTAAATACTTCACATGTACTTTACTAATATATGGTAATCTTAGAAGTAAAATCATCTTATATCAAAAGCATCCATGAGGTAGCCTTATGATTTAGTCAATACGAGTATATATAGATGAGTTGCAAATATCATCGACCTATTAAATAAGATAGGTCCATGCTAATATCTTTATGATTAACAGTACATTTTATTTTACAATCTTTCATTCCTTCACTGTGGGGATGTTTAATTGCCTTGGGATGCTGTTGTGCTGAGACCCTGTATTGCCAATGGTTCCTGTGTTTGTGTTTTTATAGGTTCAGAAATCTGTTAGTGGCAACAACCTTGTGCAACCTTATAAAGAAAATATTAACAAGGTTGAAACCATTAATAAGAAACAGCTAATATAAAAGGTCTTGTTTGAGACTGTATTTTAACATGTTGACTCTCCTATCTTATAAAAATAATACAGAAATTAAATACATTGTTAATTATTTTTGTAATAAATGTTAATTGTTATTAACTTAACAGACAATATTTATGTTCATCCTTGAAGGAGAAAATTTATATTTGATAATTTTTTCATTGAATAAATTCAGGTCCTAAAATTCCGCTTGCTTGCTTGCATTTTTGTGGTTTACGGTATATGTAATATTTCTTTACTCCACACAGGTAGTTATGCATTTCACAATCTCCATCTGAGGGCACTGTTCAAGTTGTATGAATACCGTAGTAGGCCTAAGCAATTTGTTTGTCAATCCAAGACACTATTTAATCAATCATCTATCCAACCAACCTATAACTGAACCACCAGCAAATCTATCAATCAATCAATCAATCAAGTAGTCAACATCCCACTGCTTTTTGATTGCTACAGAAATTAAGTGAGGTAAAATGTTATTGTGGGTTTGACGTCTTGTCATACTTGATAACTCCAAATCTGGGGAAAATGCAGGATTTGGCAGTAGGGGGTTGCATAAGAGTCCACCATCTCAGCCCCAACATGGTTGGTGTTGAGGTGAGAAAATTTTGAGAATAGGGACCTCAAGTTGCCCGGAATGCACTCTCATACTTTAAAAATCTTACCAGTTAAAATAATAATATATCAACAATACAACAATTGTTTTTCTTAATACAATTTAGGGGGTGCGATCACACTGTCTGCACTCACACGCCCCCCCCCCCTTGCAACCGCCCCAGCAGATAACTCCAAAGACTTGTGCAGTCTCACGTTGATCAAAAGCAGACCATCTCAGCTGTATGTTTTAATGTTAAAAGTACAGAAAACCTTCTGTACTATTTCGTCCTATTTACCCAGGGGAAATGCTTATTAATTTGCCAATTTATATTCTGTAAAGTACAAAATGGCTTTTCATTATACACTTTAGTTAAAACTAGTACTGTACTCCAAAATATATGTGCATTTTTTATGAGTATCATTTTTACTCAAGGCAGTGGGGATCAAAAGACATTAATTTTGAATGTAATCATGATTATTGTTAACATCATATTCATATAATTATTGTAATATCATCATTAAATCCAAACTTTTATAATGAAATTATATATTTTTGTGTAATTTAAAATTGGTATGATGTTGGGTTTATTTATAATTATTTTAAATTATGATTAATTAAATTAAATTAAATGACTAACTTATATATTATTAGTATTTTAATGAATCGGCAGAAACACCAGTAAGATTATGCTTTATGTAACTAGGTAAAAACTAAAACAGTGTCGGGCATCGCACTTCATCAGGTGAAATAATAACAGTGCTAGAACAGGTATTGATTGATGTTATAATCGTATCAAGCATAGCGGCGCTTAAACTAAAAGTTCCTTTTTTTCAGTTGTATGAAAAAGTGCGTCCCTGGCGAGATTGGAACCTGCACGCTCTTGCTATCAAGGCGAGTATCATACCATTAGACCATGGAGATCTATATTGTCAACGTGCAGATTTAACTTCAGGTTAGCACACCCACCACCACCATGAAAAACAATTTATATTTATTATGCCCGTCGCTGCATTCTGTCAACTATATTTCAGACTCAAGTTGTCCATATCAATACACACTTTTGTAGCTGTCTCTTATACACATCTAGATGTGTATAAGAGACAGTATATATACAATATCATTAGAATCTCCCAAAATAAGATCTACTTTCCTTTATACATTTAAAGCATCTATCAATCCCTCTGTTTACATTTATCAATACAGTTTTATTTTTATTTTGTTTACTGTCTAGATGGATTTGGTAAAACAATTTTGCTAATTTTAAGGTATAAACTTACATTTTAATATTATTTTCTTGTTTTCTTCATTTTTAAAAATAATTTTTAAAAATTTAGGGGGGAGGGGGGAGGGGCAGGCCGGTTATGCCCCCACCTACAAAGACTCTTGGTGTGGATGCATCTAACAACTAGTTGTATGTTTAGAATTTTATATTTTGATATGCTTGTGTTTTTTAAATGTAAATTTTGACCATGTATATTTAATATCCTATGTACTGTGTTCCCTCAGAGGGCTTAGTATGAAAGATAAAAACAATAACACACATTATCAGGATAAAACGCATCTAAACCACATTACTAAATATAGGCAAACTCACAAAGTCTGAAAAATTTAATTATATTAATTCTGTAATAAAATGAAATGTTGTCTATAAAAATCTAGTAAAAATACAACAGCTAAATGAACAAAATAAGATGTGATGAAGGTTTCATATATACAATAATATTAAATACTGTATATTTTATTGTTTTTATCTGTTTAAAATTTAACTTCTTTTAACTGAACTGAACTGGTTTAGGATTTCATACTGCTGTTGTTTGCTTGTATTTTATACAAATATGTAAAGTTTGACCATTTCATTTAAATTTAAAATTATTACAAGAGTCTGTATTCCCTGAGGGCTAGTACAGAAATATAAAAACAATAACATACATTTATAACAGGATAAAAACATCAAACCACAATTACTAAATATAGGCAAATTTACAAACAAGTTGGAAAGAACATAATTAAATTAAATACATGACTATTAACATATATTGTTATCTACATCAATCTAAGAAATATGCCAAATAAAATTAATACA